GTGCTGTTTGGAGAACCATATGGCACCAGGAGTGGAACCCGAGGCCTTCACATCCAGGCAACCCTCCAACCGTCTGACCTATCTCACAGGTCCAAGCCATTGCAAAAACAAACAAACAAAAAAAACCTCTTGATGCAGTTTTCAGTAGATTCAGTGTTGGGCGTCAGTTGATTTTCTGAAAATGAACATCGGCCGTGACAAATCTGTGTGTGCTCTACAGCCAGGACTAAATTGCAGAGATAAATGCGTTTGGAATCCTGGGAGAATAAAATGTGCTTTCATGGGATTTTAATTACAAAACTGCCATCTTTGGAGTTTTTTTGCATCATTGATTTTGCAAGTAAAAGAAATTGTGTGCGATGTGAATCTTAAAGTAGTGCTGTGTTCACTTTGCTTTTCAGTCTCCATTTCATGCCAATCCTCCTTCTTCCTTCAGTTTGACTTACCTTGGCTGGAAGACAAAGCCTTGCCTCCCTGCCCAACACGCTCTCTTCAGTCCTGATCCCCTCACACACCCCCCTTTTTTTCCTGGCCAGGCAGAGTGCATTGACCCCCATTAGGAGCTGGTGGTCAGCTCAGAGGTCAGCATCTCAGCCGAATGCTTGGAATTCCTCAGCCGAGCTGTGTCTTGAGTTTGTTTGTTTAAGCATGTGGTTGACTGCACTTTAGTCTCTCTTGTTTCCGAATATGGTATCCTTAAATCCTCTGGCCTCAGAAACTTGAGATGCACTCTTGCCTCTGGGGTCCTGAGAGAAGGGGCCAAAAATAACCACCCCAAGTGAGCAAAGGAAAGATGGGTGATGGGTACTGATGTTGGCTGGCCCCAGGGCAGGGAGTGAGACTTTCCTCAGGCTCCCCTGTAGATGGGGGGCCTGTCAGGCCTGTGAAAACTGTTCCCGCCTCTTCTGCACCAGATCAGTCACCAGATGCACAGCAAGGCAGGGAGGAGTGTGGGTGGCGCTCTTGTCCACTCCTTGGCTGCCCCTGGCCTCTCTGGCGCCTCTGGCGCCCTATTTTTAGTGCTGAGCTGTCACTTCCGATGAGCTGCTGCTACAGCAGTTCCATGGCAGCTGCCGCAGACATCCTGACTCAGAGGCCCCCTGTATCATGCAGGCACACTTGTTTACCGTTAAAAAGGATGGATGTTCCGGTGGATCAGCTGCTTCAGTTCCTCAAGTGGAAGGGCCCTGCGTGCTTTCCCTGCCATGCTGCCCCGCATACATGTGGATCTGCTTATTCTTCCCTTGGGTCATGTCACAGGACCCTCAGAGTAGACAGGAGAGAGATCCCAGAAGCATGATTGGCGCCAGTGCCCAGACCTCCCATCTTGCAAAGTTCCCTTGAGGTTGTGTAGAGTTCCCGTGGGGATCATGTAGGCAAAGAAATGAACAAACTACCATGGCAAAAACAGACACAAAAACCAGAAACAAAGGCCCAAAGTGACGGGCATGTGCAGGGCAGCACAGACCATGTAGACTCTGATCACTGTAGACTCTCGTAGTACTGGCAGGATTATCTTGGCCCCTGGTTTTGCAGCATGTGACCATGGGAAGCCTAACTTCCACCACAGTACATCAGTATCTACAACTGATGTAAGTACCATCCTGCTAGAAACAGTTTACAAGTTTCGACGAAAGCCCAGTGATGTGAGCTTGTCCCTGTAGCTCAGACGGGAATGGCAGCCACAGCTGCTCAGGCCACGTTATTAAATAGTCTATGTTTCCTTCTTGTTGTCTGGTCTTCTTGGGGGTAGGGGGAGAGCTCAGGGCTTATTCCTGGTTCTGTGCTCAGGGGACCATATGTGGTGCCGAGTATCAAAACCAGGTTGGCCATGTGCAAGGCAAGCACCCTACCCACTGTACTATCTCTCCAGTATCTGGTTGTTTTGTCTTGAAAAATTCAGTAATCCAGATTGCAGCTCTTGGTATAAGTCATTCTTAGAGTTGAACAAAACTCTTAGGAGGGCGGATGGAGGTGAAGTGTTAAGACTGCCACATGCCATGATACTCTGGTTCCACCTTTCCTGTGGGGAGAGAAGGGCCAGATGCAGAGGCCTTCCCTCCCCTGCTCTCCCCTTCAGCGTCAGCATTAGGCCCGTCTGGAGCTCACACTTCAGTACCTGCCTCCACCCTCCTCACTCCCCCACGCAGAGGGCCCTGGGATGAGAGTGGATCCCAGGTGCTCTGCCCAGCAGGCAGGAGCCTCTCTCTGTTGCACTATATAGCATCCTCAGGGACAGAACTGTTCCTCAAAGGCACTGCTCTTTGTCACCAGGAGATGGACCCAGTGCCAGGTCCCCTCTCCTTTCTTGTGCAGGAGAGGCTTCTCTGGCTGGGCTGACCGGAAGTTGGACTAGGTTCTTCCTCTATCCTGAGGGGCTGAGGGAAACCAAGGATGTGGCCGTGCATGTGCAGAGCTGCAGGTCTCAGTGCTCGGCCCCTGGTCTCTGGCTGAGGACAGCAGCCCTCAAGTGAGTCAGGGCTGCTAGGGAACATGTTCCCGGTTCTACGCAGAGACACCCATTGCATGTGCCTTTGTCTTTTGGTTCTCGAATTGGGAGGCCAACCCGTTGTGTTGAATAACAGGTTTTCTTGGCTGCTGCTGTATATATTCTCTTGTCATGATGTCTTGGTGCACTCAGCTGACAGCCTTTAGATGGTCCAGGGCTGTTCTAGGGGCTCCCCTTCCGTGTGCTCCCGGGCTTGTCCAGGCACACAGCTGCCCACAGTTCATGTGTCACTGGCTTTCCTCATCAGGCCTGGTCTGCTCTCCTGCCCACAGAGCACTAGTATTCTCTTGGTTCATTTCCCTTTCTTTTGGTGAAGAACTGATTCTGTACTTTCCCCATTTTCATAACTCAGATGTTTGACCACCTGATTTGTTGCAGCACTGGATCTCTCCTGGAAACTGTAGATTTTGCAGATTGGAGAGGGTTTTGTTTTGATTTTTAAGTAGTTGTAGGCTGATACCAGGAATCAGGCCCCAGTGTCACACTCCCATGTCTTCCCAGCACCAATTGTGGGTGGGTGTCTGTGCTGTCTGTGCTGCCCCTCCGGAGCTGTCTGCATCCCATGTAGTTTGCTTCTCTGTGGAAGAACTTGTCCTCCTGGCCCTTGCTTATCCCTGAAGCCTGCTTTGTCCCTTCCTCTGGATGGTGCCCTGCATGACAGAACAGGGGCATTAGCCACTCCACACCCTGAAGAATCACTGCCTGACTTTGGGGATTTGGCCCAGTGTTAGAGCACTCGCCTTGCATGTGTGACGCTCCAGGTTCCATTGGGAGCCTACAGGGAGCAGCAACAGGACTCAGCAGGGTGCGACCCAAAAATACAAACAAGATAATAATTGTCCCAACCTGGGATGAGGCTAGGGAGGCACAGTTGCTGGTGTGGGGAATCAGGAAAAATTGCCCTATCTTCTCTTTCCCTTCCTGTTTTTATCTGTGGCCCACCTAACACCTCCATTCCCACAGTCACACCGCATCTTTTTTCTTTTTTGTTTTTGAGCCTCCTGGGGAGGCCCCTGAAACAGAGAAAGCTCACCACACATGTCACCACAACTCAGAGTCCCAGAACCAAAACCCACCACAACCAACTATATGTGCCACCCTTGTCATTGCCACAATAAAGACAAGGAAAAAAGGGGAAATACTAAGTAAAATCTATAGGAAAGAAATGACTGTTCACATCAATGTGGAAATGATCTTTTTGAGATAGAGGTTGGGACTTTCAAGAGGGGACGAAGCAGGACCTTCCTCCCCTACCCACCAAATTAAGATCAGAAAGGAGAAGTGACACACCATGATCAGGAACTTGTCTGCAATGATGACATCTGGCTCTGGGGTCTCTTCCTTGGTGGCATGGGTGTTTAGAACAATAACTTGAATCAAACAGCATTTACCCCAGCACTCAAGGCTGCTACTGTCTGAGCCTCTTTTTGTGCTTTGACATTCTTGTTCCCAGATTTTGACTTGTTGTAGAGATTCAGAATTTCATAAAGGTAGAATGATGTCATGCATTCCTCACTGACCAGTAATAAATTAGCTCTTGTTGATCAGAATTGATGAGCGTAAGCTAAGAAGCCTGACAGGACAAGACTGCTGATTTCTCTGTGTATCGCACTACATTTTGGTTGCATCTTGCTTTAACATGTTGATGCCAGAGCTGCAAGTTGCATTAAGCTACCATCAAGTGTGAGCCACCAGTGATCCACACTGGCATCAATATTTTAAAAACAATAAGGGCCAGAGAGTTTGCTCAGTGGAACAAATGCATGCTTTGCATAGAGGGGACCCAGGTTCAAAACCTGGCACTGCCTGGTCACCTGAGTACCACCAGGATTGGACACAGAGCAGCGACCCTGATGTTTCTAAGCACCACGACCAAGTGTGACCTGAGAACAAACAAAATTTTAAAACGACTATAAAATTATAAAATCTTTGACCTCTCCATCTGCAGTCTGACTCCCCTGCCCACACAGCCTCAGCTGGTATGGACGACCCTCTTTGGGGTGCTACTTCCGGGATAGCACATACTCATGGCTGGAAAGCTGTCGCTGGCCATCTGGTAACGGCTCATCTCAGACTTTCACCACTTGGTTCATCCCCCTGTTGGGTTTCTCCTTGCGGCCTGGCATCTCGGCTCCCAGAATGGGTTCTGAGGAAACTGCCTATCTCAGGAGTGGGCCCTGACAGTGGCATTGTGTCATTCCTCCCAGGTGCTGTCGGTCAAATCTGTCACAGGACCCAGTCAGAACCCACCTGGGGAGGAGTTCTAGACCCCTTCCTCTTAACTGGACACCTTTCAGCACCACATGCTAACAAATACTTCTTTCGTTTGTTATTAAAGAGTGAGAACAGGCTTCTCAGAGAACAGTGTGCCCCTAAGAGCCCTAGTGCAGGAATTGCCTTGAGCGGGTGGCTTCGGTTATGAGTAAGCCTAGTGGTTTGTGCCTCCGTCAGAGTTGCCGCTAACACTCTCTCCTTTTTTTTCCCCCTTTAGCCCTGACCGCGGCTGCAGGACGAGGGAAGCTGGCAGTGTGCGAGCTGCTGCTGGAGCAGGGAGCCTCTGTGTCCCGGACCAACCGCAGAGGGGTCCCACCTCTGTTCTGTGCAGCGCGCCAGGGCCATTGGCAGGTAGGCGCATAGCTCTGAATGCGTCAAGAGAGTGCATCCGGGCAGAGTGACTGTCACTGTGTCCACACTGTGTCACTGTGTCCTTGGTTCACAGGAGGTCCTGGCTCCATAAAGACATGCCAGGCACTGGCGGGGGAGGGAGGAGCTAGCACAGCCAGCCTTGTAGGCTGTGAGCAGCTGCTTCCTGGGACTGGGGAGGGAACTGTGGAGTAGGCGATCCTGATGAGTGAGATCTCAGAGTGTGATTCAGCCTGTGTTGTTGAGAGTGTTGCCCATCGGCCAGCACGCAGTGGAAGCAGGGGTTTCTGCTGTGCTCTCCAGAGAAGGAAACACCCGCCCTCTGCCCCACACCCTGAGTCAGGCCAGCTTCTCTCCAGAGCAGAGCCAGGTTGTTGCCTTTCAATCGAGGGATCCTTGAACTGTGTTTCAGCCATTTGTTCCTTCTTCCACAAGCAGTGGTTATGGACCTGCAGCCATGCCTGGCGTCAGGTGACACACAGGCACAGACAGACTAGCCCTGCCCCACAGGAGGACTTCCTGAGCCAGCCTCACCACCTGGAGACAGGTCTCTTCCAAGCCATGCCCGCGCCTGAGTGCCCCCGAAGGAATCTTGGGTTTCCTCCTTTCCACTCCCTCAGGCTCCTCTGCGCTGTCCTTGCCTTTGACCTCTCCTAGTGTTTTCTAAATCTTGACACATCCTTGAAGAGTTTCAAGGATGTGTCAAGCCAGCACAGAAACAGCTGGATAGGGAGAGGGGTTTTGTTGATCAGAAGATAACTCAAAATGGGATGCAGGACCCGCAGGTACAGGCTAGACCATAAGCCCAGGCCAGGCAGAACTAGATCCTGCTCGCTCTGTTCAGGCATTCACCGTGAGGGAAGCAGAGGAGCACTTTGACAAGGAGTCCAGTTGCTTAGGACAAGTGTCTTTGAACTGTCTCTTGGGAGAACCTTCCCTGAATGGTTGGGGGAGGTCTGGGACACCCTGTTTCCATCGCCTTCATGTAACTGACAGAGAAGAGCCAGCCAATGTCAGGCCCTCAGGGAGAGCTCAGACCTGTCAGCTGTCACCAGATTGCAGCAGTCTGATGTGATGGGGCAGCAGGTGTTTTTTTGAGGAAGGAGAAAGATAGAACACAGGAGTTGCCAAAACTTTGATCCTTGGGTTCCAGGGATGACTCTCAGGGGAAATAAGCCAGTCACTGCTGTGGTGGCCAGCCCTGGAGAACAAGTTGGGGGATGAGGACATTGCATTTCATTTCTGCTTCTGCTCCCCAATTGTAATGATCACAGCGTGTGGTTAATAAGCTGCAAATCTCCAGGAGTCTTTGTTGAAAACTGCATGCAGCTCCCTGGGTCAGGCTGTCCACCAAGCCCCAAGTCTTAGGAAATCGGATCACTTACAGCTGTGCTGAGTGACATGTTGCATACACCCACCTCCCCGCCCCATCCTTCTACAAAGATGCAGCTCAGTGCCAGGTCCCAGCCTGCCCCCACTCACCTGCTTTTCTTCGCCTCTTTAGTTACCCTAGTGCCACGGTGGTTCAGTAACTGTCACCACTTACGTTGAGCACTCTTCCCCCTCCAAATTGGGGTTTCTGCCGGGTATGTGCTGATTTCATAAGTAAGGCAGTGGATGGGACATGTTCAAAAGATGATATTGGAAGACAGTTTTTCTCAAAGGAATGTAACAGATTTCACAGGCTCCACCTGTGAAACGCAGCTGTGTATGTGTGTGGGTTGGGGTGGGGGTGGGGGGCATGTTGGAAGAAGGGTGTCCTTTTCTACTGGGGAAGGAGGAGAGCTGCCTGGATGTGGGGGCGGGGGGCACAAATCACAGGTAGCAGGAAGACTAATCCCATGTATCTCTTTCAGATTGTCCAGTTGCTGTTGGAGCGTGGCTGTGATGTGAATCTCAGTGACAAGCAGGGCCGGACGCCCCTCATGGTGGCTGCTTGTGAAGGCCACTTGAGCACCGTGAAATTTCTCCTTTCAAAAGGTATCAGCCTGGGCTGGAGCGATAGTACAGCAGGTAGGGCGTTTGCCTTGCACGTGGCCGACCTGGGTTTGATTCCCAGCATCCCACATGGTCCCCCCGAGCACCTCCAGGATAATTCCTGAGTGCAGAGCCAGGGGTAACACCTGAGCATTGCCGGGTGTGACCCAAAAAGGAAAAAAAAAGGTATCAGCCTGTCTGTCCCTGCTCTGTGTGGCTTTCCTTTTTCCTGTGGAAGGACCAAGAAAAGAGCTTTGGTGGATCCATTCAGTACAAATTAAAAAAAATTTTTTTCCTATGGAAATTGTTAAATTTGAACAAAAGTGGAGAGACCAAGCAGTGGATCCCCCTCTCTCCAGTCCTCAGCTCCTTCAGTGACATCCTGCAAATTGGCTTGGCTGTCATGGTCCTATTGCTGGTTTCCCTTGCCACAGCCTCACCATCACTGCATGGCTCTGGCCCTGGTGGGCAGGATACTGCCTGCAGGCCTCCTGTTCAGTGTGAACGGACTTTTCTTCCAGGTGCCGGCCTTTCTTCCCTGGACAAAGAGGGTCTGTCAGCATTGAGCTGGGCTTGCCTGAAGGGTCACCGAACAGTGGTCCAATTTCTAGTTGAGGAAGGTGCAGAAATAGACCAGACGGACAAGAATGGCCGCACTCCCCTGGACCTGGCAGCCTTCTACGGTGATGCGGAGACGGTAGGTACTGGATTGGCTCATGCACCAGGAGCCCAGGCTCTACAGTGCATAGGAGATGAGCCTCTATGGTGTGTGAGTGGTTTGTACCTGCATGCATGTCTAATGGTGACTTCTTTCCTTTTTTCTGCACTTGTTCTCAGCCAGGAGGCCAGCAAGTCATTTGTTTTATGCTAATTCTGAGGCATGTGATCTAGCCAGGACTGTGGTAGACTTTAAAGACTCCTTAAATTAAAAAAATAAATAAATAAATAAAGACTCTTTAAAGCTTAAAAGTACACGATTGCCAACACATACATGAATATGTATACTCACATGCATGTGTAATTTTTACTAGTAATTCATATGAACTGTACTTTTAAATCAGTTTTGAATATATATATATATATTTATTTATGAGGAATGGTTAATCAAGTAATTAAGCTGGCCTGTTTTTAAAGAGATGTGGCATTGTCTGGGAAAACCATAAAATGCTTGGGTACAAGTGGCCAATCTAATTGAGGCAAGAAGGGGCAGTACTGCTGGAGGCTGTGTGGAAACCACAGCTGTGTCAGGCCCCACATCCCAGGCTCCCTCAAACTGGAGGAATTCTCAGTGCCTGGAGAGCTACCACTCTCAAATAAATATGTCTAATGTAGGGTCACTCGAGGGACATGGATTATGTTGCTATGGACCTGGGCATGGTTGTTGTCTTGGCCTAGCCCTCTGGATTTCAAAGATTTTAAAAGACAGAGATGTTAATATGAAAGGCATTGTGAACAACAGTTACCGTGTGTGTTTCACAGACACCTATTTAAACCACATATATCCACAATTTTTATTTTCGGCACACACGACTTTACCAAGTCCTGTAGTTTATCAGCATTAGAAAAGAGTGAAGGAGTTAGCATTCTAGGGTCAATTCTTTTAAATGGTGATATAAAACACCTAAAATGTCCCATCTCCGTCAATCCTAAGTGAAGAGCTTGATAGTATTAAGCACACAGCACGGTTTTGGCAGCCAATGTCAAGATGTTTTACTCTCATAAAACTGAAACTTCATGCCCATTTAGCGAATGCTCATTCCTGTTCCCCAGCCCTTGGCTGCCACCTTCCTACTTTCTGTCACTCTAGATATATCATATAAGAGCATGCATACAAAATCTGGCCTTTCACAACTGATTTCATTTAGCCTTCTCTTAAAAGTTTGTGATGTTGTAGCATGTAATAAGATTTCCTACCTTTCTACAGAAGTGGAATAATAATATTTGTATGTTATTTAATGTAGTGGAATAGGGCATTTATCTTGCCCTAGGTTTGGTCCCTGGTACCCCATATGGCCCCCAAGCCCTCCAGGAGTGATCCATGATCACAGAGCCAGAAGTAAGCCCTGAGCACCCCCTCCAGTTACCCCCCCAAAAAAAAATGTATGTTATATACCATGTTTTTTAGCATTTCCTTGCTCAGTGGACACTCAGATGGCTTTGACCTTGTGGCCTTTGTGAAGAGCTACAAAGCTGAAGTGTAGCCTGTGCATCACTGTTTCTTGGAAAAGGGTCTTTGAGATCTGTTTATATTCCTTGGGGTATTTATGTGGAAGAGGGATTGCCAGTTCACTGTGGTGATACTGTGCCCGTTTTACATTGTTTCCAGCAGTATGCAAAGGGTTTTGGTTTCTCCAAATCTTCACTGAAGTCTGTGTTTTCTTGTTTTTGTGACAGACAGCATTATTGTGGTTCTGTTGTGTTTTCCAGGGTGATTAGTGGTGTTGATCACCCTGGAAGTTTCCAACTTATCCTTTTCTTGTTAACCACTTTCATTCCATCTTTGGAGGAATGAATGTCTGCCTCTTCAATTTTTTTGACCCTTTTTAAATTGAGTATTGTTGTCTTTGTGGCTGAAGTATAGTTCTTTTTGTATTTTGGGTATTATTCCCTCTGTGACCATTGTGCATGGTTTATGAACTGATCGGATCTACCTGTGAGGTCCCTGTGAAAATCTAAATGGGCTGCTGCTTCTCTTCTAGTCAGTAGAGTAATTTGAGTGCCTGAGTAGATTTTCCTATTGTTCTTTGTTTAATCCAAGTGATAGCTACTTTATCGTATCAAATCAGTCTCTTTACCATGGTCTCGAACATGCCATTTTTGTCATTACAACTCTAAGGTCTCTTTCCTAAACATTTAAGTGGGATGTTCTTGGTCCTAATGCAAAGTTAAGTAATGTGAAGTTGCCCATTATTCCAGTTTATAGCTTCTCTATGGGTCTGAGTGTGTACACTTTGCTCACGCCTGCCACAGTTCTGTTTCCTAAGTTACAGGAAATTAAAGGGTGACTGGGTCAGCTCTCCTTGGCCTGGGAAGTGGGGCAAGAAGGAGAGAACAATGGGGTGCACACGTGTGTTTGTGTGTGTGTGTGTGCGCGTGTGTATGTGTGCGCACACACACACATGCACATGAGCTGCCTGGAAGCCTGTCCTGCCTTTTCTTCTTGCTGATGATTCCAGAAGCACTCAGAGCAGGTGTGACTGTGGCTCCCCTTCTGTTTTCTGTCAGCTTCTTTCCACTCAGGGAGTCCTGGAGGCAAGTAAACTCTGCCTCCTCCACTCCAATGAGCTGAGAGCAGTGGCCCCACAGCTCACACCCCATCCCCCCACCCCCGCTGCAGGTGCTGTACCTGGTGGAGAAGGGAGCTGTGATCGAGCACGTGGACCACAGCGGGATGCGTCCCTTGGACAGAGCCATCGGCTGTCGGAACACATCTGTCGTGGTGACACTGCTGAGGAAAGGAGCTAAATTAGGTCAGTGGACACCTCAGGTGAACAGGGAGAGATTTTAGCGTGTGTCTGGGCTTGAAGGACTTGCCTGCCCCCAGCTCCAGAAGCAGCTGAAGGGCTTTCCCTTCTCTAAGACCCCCTTATATTATAGCTAAAATGCTTCCTTAGCTCATGGTATTACTTGGGTGCAGGGGAGGAGGATGTTGAGGGGAGCCGCCCCAGGGTGCAGTTGAACTAGACTCTGGGTTAGGGGTGCTCCATGTTGGTGGTCATGGGAGTTCCAGTAGGAAGCTCACTGCAGGTTGGAGAACCCGCCACTAGTCCCTTCACACTGGGCCACCTCCCCACAGCTTCTGTGAGGGAACATGCATGAGGTTCACTGCAGATAAGATTGAAGGGGTTTCTGCTCAGTAGAGAGAACCAAGTAGAGAGATTACTTTCCCGCATGACCGTGGGGATATTTCACACCAGTCAGCATGTGTGAGAAGGAGCCACGGAAACATCTGGCTCCATATGCCAGGCCTGTGGCTCACAGCATTTCTGAGGAGGTGACTCTGGTGAAGGTGAGGCTGTTTGCTGAGAGTGTGAAGTTGTTCACCGAAGGAGAAGCTGTTCCAAGCAGTTTTGCATTGTTTTGTCGTTTGATGGTACCGGGAAGCAAACACAAAGTTTATTGTTTAACTTCTCTGCTGCCCACTTTCCCTGTAAGCAGACAGTGCTGGCACCATCACATCACATGGGGGCCTATGGCTTCCCCAAGGCCACAGCCCACTGCAGAGACAGCTTGGCCCTGGGCTGCCTCACTCGTGCATTTACTTCGGGTCATCAAGTTCAGAGGAGGATTAGGAAAACCAGTGCCTTGCCTCAGGCTGGGAGAGGTATCTGGCAGGGACGGGAGCTGGACAGTCTGGAGCATGCATGGGAGAGGGTAGAGGGGCCACAGGTCAGGTCCTCTGTGTGGGATTTGAATGAGCACTGTGTGAGGAGGGCAGAGACTGATACACACACCTTCATGGGCCAACAGCCCATTAGCATAAAAGCACAGTTAAATATTAAAATGCCTTATTTAAATGTTTTTCTCATCCCTGTGAGGTTGGAGTGATGGGTCAAGGCTGAGAGCTACATTTGCCCATGCTGTTGCCATGAGTGATAGCTCTTTGCCCAGGATACAGTTCCTCTTCTCATGCCCAGTTCAGCAGAAGGCAGGTCCTACTCACAGATCCTACGCCCTGTTCTTCATCTATTATCTCCCAGAAGCCTGTGAGGTGCAGTAGTAGTGGCCCCATCGCCAGTGTCGCTGCTTTGTAACTTTGACTTGTGTTAAGGTCACAGGAGAACTGAACTCCTCACTCCCAACCTCTGAACATGTGTTTATTTTGCAGGAAATGCTGCTTGGGCGATGGCCACCTCCAAGCCTGATATTTTGATTATACTTTTACAGAAGCTGATGGAGGAAGGAAATGTAATGTACAAAGTGAGTGGCATTGGTCTTTTTGATGATGTTTTTCAATGGCCATGGGGCTGTCTCTTGGTTTGGTGGATAATGGACAGAGCTGAGCTTTAATAGAAATTCTCCAGAGATGTTGACCTCGTCTCTACATCGACTTTAGTATCTCACTAGCAGTACCTTCAAGGTGGAAAGCACTGCTTTTGTGTAGGCCATTTCTTTCTGAACAAACCCTTGTGTTTCTAACTAGACTTAGGATTTATGGCCTTGGTGTCAAGGCAGGGTTGCTTCTGGTTTAACTTAAGTTGCTGCTGAGAGTTTCCTTAATGCCCAGAGCTCTGGGACCCAGGAAAGGAACATCAGGGGCATTTCCTGCGGAAAACACCATCCAGTCTCCTAAAGCTTTTATTTTGATATCCGCAAGCCTAAGGTCAGAGATAATACTCAGTACTTGAAAGACCAAAAGATTTTTCCTTTGGAAATGTAACTTTTATTTACAGATTCATTTACTTTAAAATTCATTTCCCAAAGTCTGCTTAGATTAGATTGGTCGGTGAACTTTCTGTAAAGAGGAGATGGTAAGTATTTCAGGCTTTGCTAATGTACCCAGCTTTAGTGCTGTGGTACCAGCATAGCCATTGATAGTACCTGAAGGCAGGAGTGAGGCTGTGTCTCCATCAGCCTGTGTTTGTGGAAGCAGGTCACAGGTGGATTTGGCCCACAGCCAAGTTTGGTGACCCCAGTTCTGAAAGTGTCGAGTCTGTTTACACAGAACACTGTTCTTTCCAGCATTGTGATGAGACAGAATTAAAAGATTAAGGAAACAAAAACTAGATTATGACCATTTTAATCCTTTTGGCCATGAAACTGCTGTTCTTGCTATGTTTAAGTTTTTGCCTTTTCTTTTTATTTTTTAATAATAACAAATAAATAGGCATACAACATGGCCCAGTGGGGTTCCAGGCTTGAAATCAGTTTGAGATGGAGCTCCGAGTATATACTGTTGTGACTTTGAAGTGGTTTTAATGTGAATTTTGGTAGGCAATTATGTCGGAAGCATCAAGCCATTTTCAGCAGGCTTCCTACCTGCTGTGCTGCAGGACTGAGGGAGCAAATGGATTTCTTTAGCCTTGAGACTGACATGCAGTGCTGCTCCAATTTTTAAAGTCTGCATTTTTGTTCCTCTTCTAAAGAGAAATTACTATTCAACAGCAAGCACTGGGTTTGTCTGCAAGTCTACTTGCCCTAGGTTCTGCATCATTTTTTCCCCATCTGATTCTTATTACATTTAACACCAAAATTAGATGAGAGATCATTCATGACATGCTTCTTCAGAATTTGCCTGATGTATGAAGGTGGATAGTTCCCAGTTTAGGGGTTTCTGTGGCCTGGGAAATGTAGTACCCCTGGCGGCAGATGGGGGCCATCCAGCCTCCGTCTGCAGGAGGCACGTGGGTCCCCTCGCCTGGACCTCTGGTTTGGGAAACCTTCTTTATTCTGGAGCCTCTGGAAAAGGGGTAAATGTCTGGTGTTTGAACCCTAGAAAGGAAAGATGAAGGAGGCTGCGCAGAGGTACCAGTACGCCCTAAGGAAGTTCCCTCGAGAAGGACTCGGAGAGGACATGAGGCCATTTAATGAACTCAGAGTTTCCCTCTATCTCAATCTGTCTCGCTGCAGAAGGAAAACAAACGTAAGCACCACCCCTCACCACACTCCCTGGGTGACACGGGGTTTCCAGGCAGCAGCAGCAGGGCCAGCCCCCGCCCCGCGCCCAGCACCTCTGATCCTGACCAGGCTGCATGTCTCAGAAACCCAACAGAGGAGCTGCCGCTCCTGGGTGCCAGTCACTTGGCCTTTCACTCCCTACCCTTCTAGAACTTGTCTAGGCCTGAGTTCAGTCCCCGGCGTCACGTGGCCCACCCCACGCTGAGCACTGTCGAGGTCTGCCCGCTGCTTTCTGTCCTCCCCGACCGGATTGTCAGCCTGTCTTAGTGACCTCTCCCCAGCTTCACTGGGAGAGCAGGCACATGATGTTCAGCAGCAGTGCATTACACTCTGCTTGTCTTCTCAGGCCAGAATCTTGCTTTGTCATTCACCGTAGTTGGCTCGTATTTAAATCATAACTGGTAGGTGTTTCTGAATTTCTTTTTTTTCCCTTTGCGTTCAACTCCATCTTCCGACCAAATCCAATGATGTGCCTGCCCCCAGACCCCACATTCTGCCTGTTCCCCCGTTCCCCTCTCCCAGGCAGAGGTAGTGGTGAACGGTGCAGAAAGCCCTGAACCGCCAGCAGGTTCCATCCTCTCCTGCCTGTCAGGCCTGGCCTTATTGCCCTCTGTCCAGCATCAGCGAGTTTCCCTTCTTGACTGGACTCTTCTCTCCCAACTGGGAAACGGAACAAAACGAACTTCCCATGTCCTCATCTGTCTTCTGTTAGGTTCCAATTGTCTGCTAACCTTTAGATGAAAAACTCCTTTCGAAAAGCTAACCTATAAACAATGTTCAGTGCTCTTTTTTTTTTTTTGATTGATGTATTTGATTGTTGACAACAGGACTTCGGCTTAGCAGAAGAATTTGCTTCCAAGGCCCTCGAATTGAAACCGAAGTCCTACGAAGCCTTTTATGCTAGGGCAAGAGCGAAGAGAAACAGCAGGTACTGTCAGGGCATAGAGCATGTGTTTCTGCACTATCAGAGCTTCTGCCTGACTTTGGGAGCATCTGGTGCCTCTCTGTGCTCTCAAAACTAAATTGCTAACTTGATATTAATAACTGTAACTCTAACTGTCCTCCCTTTGTTCATTGATTTGCTCAAGCGGGCCCAGGAACGTCTCCATTTTTGAGACTTGTTGTTACTGTGTTTGGCATATTGAATACGTCATGGGTAGCTTGCCAGTCTTTGCCATGCAGGCAAGATACTCTCAGGAGCTTGCCAGGATCTCCGAGAGGGGCAGAGGAATCGAACCGAGCTCTGCTGGGCTGGCTGCAAGGCAAGATACTCTCAGGAGCTTGCCAGGATCTCCAAGAGGGGCAGAGGAATCGAATCAAGCTCTGCTGGGCTGGCTGCAAGGCAAACGCCCTACTGCTATGCTATCGCTCCAGCCTAGCAACTAAATTTTCGCTTCATCCTGTTTTTCTCAGTGTCTCCCCTTTGTCCCAAGTGAATACGAGAATGGAAGATTCTAGATTCTTTCATAGTTAGTGAGCCTGGCACCAGGTAATGTTAAAAAATGCTGGGAGGTGGGGAAGAGCTGCAGAGGGATTGGATTGAGAGGGGACGGTGCACAGATCAGGATTAGGATTCAGCACCCCACTCAGCTAAGTCTGTGCTAGTGAGGTGGGTCGTGGCTGGACCAGTATGTATCCCAACCTCACTCAGATGCCTTCTCTTTGCATTCCGCAGAGCTGTTTTAATGAGCAGTTATAGTCAGACACCATGTTCCTGCATGACCTGTCATTTTCTCTTTTTAATATAAAGGCAGTTTGTGGCAGCTCTGGCTGACCTGAGGGAAGCTGTGAAAATCTGTCCCAGCAATCAAGAAATCAAGAGACTCCTGGCCCGTGTGGAGGAGGAGTGCAAGCAGCTCCAGAGGAACCAGCAGCAGAAGCAGCAGAGCCTGCCACCGCCTCCAGTGCCCCCCAACGATTCAGACAATGAAGAAGAGGCCATGACCCCTGAGTTAAATGACCACTTTGATCTTGAGGAGGCTGAAGAAGAGGAGGAGGAGGAAGAGGAGGAGGAAGAGGAAGAAGAAGAGGAAGAAGAAGCAGCAGCAGAAGTAAATTCTCCGAGGGAAGAGTCCATTTCTCTGGCTCCCAGGTCCCAGCCATCCTCATCGGTTCCCTCCCCATATATCCGAAACATTCAAGAAGGGTTGCAGTCCAAAATACGGCCAGTGTCCCCACAGAACAGGCCCGGAAGCAAGGCCCCGCGGGAGCCTGTGGCACAGCCAGGTCTGGTTATGCAGCCCAGCAAGCAGGCGCAGATCGTGAAGACCAGTCAGCATCTGGGCTCCCCTGGCATGCGAAACGGGAGCATTAAGATGCAGGCCTCGGCTCAGCATCCTCCCCCGAGTCCCATGCCAGCTAGGGTCGCTGCGGCTCCTGCCGGGAGCAGAACCCCACTGTTGGACGGAACCGGGCCTTTCACCCTCGGGGCCGCGGCAGGCCATTTTGTGGACCGGCTGGGGCCCAGTCCGAGCATCCAGCCACATCACAGCGAGAGTGGCGCTGCCTACCCTCTACCGAGCAAGATCAAAACTGCAGAGCGACTCCTGGCTCAGGCTGGGGTGGCTGTGGATGTGGCGCCCCTGGCTCAGGGCGGACTGGTGGGCTGCAGTGACATGCGACACGCAGCATCCCTCGCCAGCTCAGGCTCCTCGGGTTCCCCGTCTGGCAGCATCAAGATGTCAAGTTCAACCAGCAGTTTGACTTCAAGCAGCAGTTTTTCGGATAGCTTCAAGGCCCAAGGACCAGAAGCACGAATCAAAGACAAACTTGTGAGCCAGGTCACGGGCAGTGCCACGGAGCATAGACCACGCAACACCCCGTTCATGGGCATCATGGATAAGACCGCACGGTTCCAGCAGCAGGGCAACCCCTCCACACGCACCTGGCACTGTCAGGCGCCCGAGGGGCTCCTGGCTAGCACGTCCACTGCAGCTGGCCTGCAGTCGGCGAACTCGGAGAAACCTGCCCTCAAACCAGTGGGTGGGTATCATTACCCAGCCAAAACCTGCTCTGCTGCTACCCTGGGTGGGAGTGTCCACAATGGGGCCCCGAAGAAGGAGCTGGAAGAAAAGTGCCAAATCCCCATCCACTGTCCGGAGAGCAGGATAGGGAAGACTGTTTCTCATCTGTATCAGGAAAGCATCTCCAAACAGCAGCCTCACATCGGCAGCGAAGCACACAGAAGTCACCTCCCGTCAGCAAAACCAAAGCGCTCATTCATAGAGTCAAATGTGTGAGCCTTAAAAAAAGACCTGTTTGTAGAATTTGAAAAACTTTGTATTGGCTCCTGGTGGTAATTAAGTGCTTTCTCACGAGCAAAAATTTCTTTTTAGCCATATGCATTTTTTTCCTTAGGGGTGGATTGGAGGCTATTTGTACATGGAAAATATGACATAAGACATCTGTAAGAAATAGCTAAAAGTCGCCATAAATAAGAATGCTAATACAGATCAAAACTACAATTAGTTATGTCAAGCTAAAACTGTGAGACAGCCAAGAAGACATCAATGCTTTTCTCTTATGAAATTGTTGGGTTTTTATCACTTTTCCTCTAGCCTTTGCTCTGTGGTAAAATCATAATATTTCTTAGAGAATATAAATGTCGAGATAGATTTAATAACTCAAGATATCATACTAGATCATTTCTCCTGGGGAAAGAAGAGATCGTCTTTTTAAGTTACCACGCAATTGAGTCTAATTCCAACTTATATAAATATTTAAAATTAAGACCTCTTAAATTATGTGTGACTATAAATGTTATATAGCTGATTTTCCCTTTCTGTTTTCTAAAGCAAAACACAAAAACATCAAATTTTGTTCCCTTCATGGCAGTTTCCTGAAGAAAGTAAATGCTCTTTGTGTTTGGTTCCTATTCAGAATATTTTATAATACCTTATTTGGAATTATATTCTTCATGGTATTCTTAATGTGTGGAAGTAGCAGAAACCATTTGGAATCATGATTGATGGTCAAATTGGATTTGGGCTAAAATACTCAGACCACTGTTCTTGGTGACAAGTAAATTGGCTCTCAGCTGGTTTTAAAACTGCTTTTAATGATAGCTCTCCTGGAACAAACCTTCCAAGGCCCTCTAAGGACAGTATTTAATTTGGATACTTAAAGTGTGGTTAGTTGTTACTTTTGTTTTATTATACACACATTATAGTCACATGTTGTACATATTAAATAGGTTGTAGTAAGACTTGTAAATATAACTATTTCAAGTAATCTTTTTAAAAAAAGTCATTTACTTGCATGTTCTTTATAAGCTTCATCCATGCTGGTTATTGCACTGAATTATATATTATGGCATGTTAATAACAGTATACCAGTAACAGCACTTTATCTCCGTATGAACACCTTTGGGGTGCTACTTAAATCCAAGATGATGTGTTTTTCATTTGTAAAGGTGAGGTACAGGAATGAACGTTGATCTAAAGGTATTTTTATAATGGAGATGGTATGTCCTGGGAGGATGTTAAAGTGTTTGAGAGGTGGGAGTATGTTTGTTTTATATGTTGGGATGTGAAATTTATTTTCTACAATTGGGGAGAAGGAAGTTCTATATTTACAGATTGTTTTAAAAATGAATAGTTGTACTGAAGTTCCTGTGAGCATCATTATGGTTTTGTATGAGTAAGAATTTTCCAGTATCATGCTTCAACATTTGCTCCTGAATGTGTACAGAATACTTTGTACAGCTTCATCATTTTTATAAGCTTTTCATGAGTTCTGCTATAACTTCTATGGCTTATTTATTGTTTATTGTTTTCTTTAACAATTGTGAAAGTCTTATTCTTTTGTTATGTAGTTTTGTTTCTGCACAACTACTGTACTTTTCCATATGGAATAAAGACAATTAATAGAATTTGTTTTGCATTAAATGAAATAATGGTAAGTAAAGAATGTCCTGATAGCAAGTAAATATGCTTTAATCCTGTGTGATCCTGCTACCCAGTGCCAAGCAGTGGAAAGCCTGATTTTTACAAAATTACTACTAAGTGCATATTTAATTTCCTTTAATAATTTCAGTATAGGTGTGACAGCTTCTAAAAATCTAAAAATATTTAAGGATAAAAATAAGTGTTGTGTTTAATATAGAAAACATAAAGGAAGGTATTCTATATTCTTTCATGAGATCTTAGTGATTTTTACTATCAATAGCTTATTTTTATTTTTTTAATTAGTGAAACACCATGAGGTACAGTTTTAGACTTACAAATTTTTGTGCTTGGGTTTCAGTTATACAATGATTGAGTACCCATCCTCCCACCAGTGTCCATTCTCCACCACCAATGATCCCAGTATCCCTCCCACCCCCCCCCCAATCCCTCCCATCCCACCCTGCCTCTGTGGCAGGGCAGTCCCTTTTGTTCTCTCTCTCCTTTTGGGTGCTGTGGTTTGCAGAAGAGGCATTGAGTGGCAGTCATGTTCGGTCTACTTTCAATAGCTTATTTTTAATACTCGAACTCTCAAATACTCCAGCAATACCCTGAACACTGGGTCAATGTGAAAGTTTATTTTCCAGCATATCTGTGTGATCTTTCAGTTAGAATATGTATTGCCTTTTACACACTTACATTTCAAAGTCACCTAGATAAGTCTGAATGTGAACATTAAATTGTGTCGTATTCATGAAATTTTAACTTGGAATCTTAAGTCTATTCTGTGTTAATTGCACCTTTCAGGCTACTGGCTGGTTATTGTTAGTAGGTTGTGTATAAGATTTTCAGTTCTTTACAGTTCTTATTTTAAAAAAAAACATAAAGCAGAGAAATAGTACAGGAGTTAAGTAGCTTGCCTGGCATGTAGCTGAGCCAGGTTTGATCCCTGGTGTCACATACAATCCCATAAGCACAGAGCCAGAAATAATCCTAGTATTGCAAGGTGTAGCCTCAGCAACCCCTTTCCGAAAAAGAAGTTGGACAGAATGGGTTAAGTGTTACTGGCTAAGAGATACTTCTTGTCATTGAACAACTTTTCCTATAAAGCCACAGGATGACTCTAAGAATTTATTAGATTCTGTGATTTTGATATATTCTTAGTCCTCCCAGAAAGAGGTGAAATCTTAGGTGAGCGCTGTACCCATTTATTCCGAATAGGGGAGGATCCAGTTGGCACACTGTGTAGTGGCCCCGCCTAGGAGTAGTTTGGATTTGGTGGGTTATTTCGGGGTTTGGTTTGCATGTGTGTCTGCAGAGGAGGAGCTGTTTGATTTTTATATAAGTACAAAACTAGAGGCATTTCACTTTGGTAAATTTTGTTTTACAAAAATTGGCATTTTGTTTTACAAGAAGCTATCCTGTGAAATAGAAAAGAAAACCACATTTTTGCAGCTGGGGATGTGGCGCAGCAGTGGAGCGGCCTGCCTTGCATATATGAGACCCTGGGTTCAACATCTGGCATTGCACACCACCAAAGTGGAAATGATATTTAAAAAATAAGCACTGTGTTTTGTATTAGTGACTCTGGAGACTATTTTTTTTAATGTAAAAACAATGCAGCCTCCAATAAAATGATTACTTGATCAAAGAATTTTTAGCCCAATGTTAGGTTCTATAGTTGTCTCAGCATATATTCTTGATAGAATACAATAAAACACTCTCTAGAACAAATTCTCACCCTGTTGTTTTCCTGAGTAAGAAGTAGTAGTGTGTAAAAAAAAGATAACTGTTGGAAGTAGAGTTCCATAATACATTAGAATGGCAGTCATTTTGCAAATCAGTAATAAGGCGAAGATTTCTTTAGTATATAGGCTTTTCTAACCTTTCTCCAAATATATAGCATATTATATATTTATAAAACATAGTAAAATCTATATTGCATTTGCCCTTCTTCTACATTTTCATACCACCCTGAACGCGCCGGATCTCATCTGATCTCGGAAGCTAAGCAGGGTCGGGCCTGGTTAGTACTTGGATGGGAGACCGCCTGGGAATACCGGGTGCTGTAAGGTCTGGAGCGATAGCACAGCGGGTAGGGCGTCCACCTTACAAGCGGCCAACATGGCCGACCCGAGTTCAATTCCTCCGCCCCTCTCGGAGAGCCCGGCAAGCTACCGAGAGTATTCGGTATGCCAGACACAGTAACAACAAAGTCTCCAATGGAGACATTACTGGGCCCGCTCGAGCAAATCATGATCAACGGGAGGGCCTTTACCTTACCTTTACCTTTACCTACATTTTCAAAATTTTAAATTAGTATAAAGAGGGTTGGGGGATGTCTTGATTTCTAATTTCTAAATTTCTCACTTGTAATTCTATTGAGAGTTCCCATATGGTTGTATAAGCTATATTTCCTTACAGTGGATTCCACTCATAACTTGAGGCAGTTATGCTCCATCAGTACAACTTCAGTCTCCTAAGCTTGAGGTTTTCATCTGGGTGAACATTTACTAAGGTACTGTATATTAGTGTACTGGCTAAAAAATTGTATTGTTACTCTGACTTATGTGAGAACTTTAAGAATTCTAAAAGGCTAGCTTGCCACTTTATATACTATAAATTTGATATATTAGTGATAATTTATTCCATTAAACTTGTATTAGAAGTTTGGAATTGGGTGGGAGATAATTATCAGCTTATAAGAATTCAACAAAATCAGTCAACATATCAATCTAGTTTTCGCAAATAGTTATAGACAAATCTAAACTTGCTGTTACAAATTGTCAATAAAAAGATTCTACAGATTTATCAAAGAATATTAACTAAAATTTAAATATCCATTATATGATAGATCATTCCAATCTTTGGGCAGTGGTATTACAATTAAAGTAAAACTTTATTTCTTTACATATTAACTTTTTTTTTCACTAGTACAAAAATCTTTCAAAATATTCAAAATAGATAAAATGTGTAAATTTAGCCCTGGTGTCTTAGAGAACGAAAACAGACAATTTTAGAGGTAACTAAGTTTAGATGTTTACCTTTCTCTTGTTTTGCCTTTCCTTTCAAAAAAAATGAGATCACTGGAAAATATAAATAATATGAAGCAATATAGACCATTTTATTTCTGATGTGTCTCAAGCCATCGATTGATGGCCATTTTCAAAGTCCTGTTTGGTGTGAGTACTAATGAAGGAAGAACAAGATTTGTCATGGGACTTGTGCGTTTCTTTTTCTTGATCCAATTTTCCATTGCTTCCTTTTCGTATGAATATCCATCTGGAAAAAAAAAACACATTATTTGTAAAATGTAAAGGGGAATTACTAAAGGAGTTGGGTGTGAACTTTCTTGCTAAGATCTCTATTTTAATTAGTCTTGTTTTATACGCCTAAAATATCTCTGCCACAATTACTGAATTCTGGGACATGTTAACATTGTTCAGATTACCTGGAACAATGTCATTTTAAGCCCCTAATACTCTACTGTTCTTTTGAACACTAGAGTTGAAAGAAAAAAGTAGATAGAAGGAGCTAAAAGGAAAGGAGCCAGTTGAAGTGGGAATGAAGATTGCCACATCAATGCGCTGGCTGTGTTTGTGTATATAGTGACGAAAGACGAGAGAGTTTAGAATAACTCAGCAAAACTTTCCAACACATTGAAGAGTTAGAAAAGGTACTCGGAAATGAAAGAAATTATTCCACAAAAGCTTTGATGGTTAAGGAATCCACAATGGGGGAGCGGGAGAAAATACCAGCTAAGATCTTTAATACTTGCTGTAATTTTTTTCCTCCCTACTTTCACTGTTTTTTAAACTGAACAGCTTAGTTCTTAATTACACTTCACATCAACCTATTTGCTTTAATCTAAAATGCATGCCACAGCTGAAGATTAACAAACGCTAATATATTACTAGCACACACTTTTTTATTTCTGGTTCCGTCACAAGGTAGCTCTAACTAGGTTCATCTCATGAAAATATTATTTGAAAACGACTTGAAAAGTTTTTTATTATCGACTTGATATACATCGTGTCCATATGCTTTTTTTTAACCCTCACGATTTTTCAGAGGTTAAATTGCAAAATTTTTAAGTGTTTCAAAGTAAACACTATAAATCAAGCTGAGTTCAGAAGACTTTATTTCTGTCTGACCCTTGTTTCCACCCTTCACATGTAGCTAACCACATGTTATTAGTTTTTAACCTTTTTAAAATGTAGTATCTTACTACATGAAAACTTGCATGGTATGTAATCTGTTTTGTACTTGGCCTGTTTTTCAATTAATTCTTTAAAAAAAAGTTTCCTTCCACAGTATCCTCTGTGAACAACACCGAGGTTGTTGAGGTTGTTTCTATTCTTTGGCTTTCACAACTAGAGCTGCAATGAATAACCTTAGTTATTCCAGAAGTATCCAGAAGTAAGACTGCAGCATCAGAGTATATGTATATAATTCTGCTTTATACAGAGGAATTCTATTTTATTTCTACTGTTTGCAAAATTGCCTTTTTCCCTTGTGCCTCACCAACAGTATGTTGTCAAAATGGATTTCTCGTGAGTAACGGTTACTTTATTATGAGGAAGATGGGACATATTGAAGAGCCACTGGCTTTTCCCTAGTGAACTGATTTACATTTAGCCCGTTTTTCTATTAGATTCTATAGATTTTTTTTTTATGGAAGTCTAACCTTAGCGCCACACAATTGCGAATTTTTCCTCTTTTTTTTATACTGAGAACTCTTAAAGATCTTTCTTAATGGTATTTGCCTCCCTCCTATTCTGGCAACCACCAATTTGTTTTCTGTATTGTTTGGTGTTACTGTTTTGAAGTCATATAGTACAGGTCAGTTTTTATTTGGCATAATACCTTCAAGGTGACAGGTACACATATGGTGCCCTGATTATTTGCTATTTCATAATTGGTTTGCCATACTTGTGTTTTATCTTGAGCACATATCATACTCACTGGACTCTAAAAATATGCTTGTTTGTCTTACTGTGTCAGATACAGAGTTCAGTGGCAGCTAACTCATTTGCTATAAAGTTAAATATGAGTGGCACACGTTGTTCATTTCTTTGCTATATTCCATTTCACTATTCAGTGCTTAGTGTTTTGTGAATGTCCCATGGTGTTAAAAGTATATGTTCTATTTTGAACTGAACGTTATGATCAAATCTATTACCATGTTTGCCTGATATCGGGACTTCATGGCTTTTTTTTTTTTTTTTAGGGATTGCATTATAGCACTGTCCTCCCATTGGTCAGCCTTTTGCTCGAGCGGGTACCAGTAATGTCTCCGTTGTGAGACTTGTAACTGTTTTTGGCATATTGAATACGCCATGGGGAGCTTGCCAGGCTCTACCTCAAGAGCAGTATTCTTTCAGTAGCTTGCTGGGCTCTCCAAGAGGGGTAGAGGAATCTAACCCAGGACAGCTGCGTGCAAGGCAAACGCCCTACCCACTGTACACTCCAGCAAAAATTTTAAAAATCGTGTAGACTATTTAATTTAGAGCTGATTTCAATTTATTGTGAAAAAGAGTCTAAGCATTTAAAAAAAAAACAAATACTCTATTAATATTAACTCCTTACATCTAAGCTCAGATAGATTCTTACTCATTAGTAGTCAGTGAGTTTATTCATGTTTAATAGAACTTCTTTAAAATTTTTCTTTGCCTGCTTTAGGTTGTCAGTTTCTGGAGTTACTGGTGAATAAAATGTCAAAACAGTCTACTCTGTGCAAAGGTTTCCAACTGAAGAAAAGTTTCTTATCCTAACTGCAGATTAATTGCTTTCCATATTATTAGTGATTCTGGGATAATCAACAGTTTTATATTCGCTACAAACTTCTTAAAACACTTGAGAAAGCAATACAAAGGATTATCACCACTTCCCAACCAGCATTTTTCTCATAAGTACCTTAGAGTTTATACTAATAACACTTCTGGTTTCATTTATTTGAAAACAACTACATATGGGCTGGAGCAATAGCACAGTGGTAGGGCTTTTTTGCCTTGCATGCAGCCAACATGGCCAACTCGAGTTCGATTCCTCCGCCCCTCTCTGAGAGCCCGGCAAGCTACCAAGAGTATCTCGCCCACATGGCAAGCCTGGCAAGCTACCCGTGACGTATCCGATATGCCAAACACAGTAACAACAAAGTCTCACAATGGAGACATTACTGGGCCCGCTTGAAAAAATCAATGAACAACGGGAGTACAGTGCTCAGTACATATCAACTAGAGGAAACTTTTCATTCTTAAAACTATTATTTTTGTATCCGAACAAAGACATGTGACTCTTCCTATAAACCAAGATGCTGAGTTGAGAAATCAAGAGTTGTACAGGTAATTTTAAGAAGTACAGTATTTAATAAGCTGCAATCACAATTTTATTTCATAATCCAGGTGGTGAGATTCTAGAAAAGATCAAACCTAATAATGTTCCTGTAAGATTAACTTCTGGTGATTAACCAGCCCTATGTTCTCATCTGTTGCCTCCAGAACTGGACAAAGCAAGCACAACACCTCTAAATATGTCCTATTCCCACAGGCAGTACTTTGTGAGTACAAAAGATCATGGGACCACTGCAGGACACGTTAACTCATTTACCCAGCACCACAGTCTCGGAGAACTAAATCCAAATAATCTGGCTCCTAATCTACAAGCTAAGTGGGATTGATATAAATGACAGGCAGCTCTATAACCCCTCTCAGAGAGCCTGGCAAGCTACCGAGAATATCTCGCCCACATGGCAAAGCCTGGCAAGCTACCAGTGACGTATTTGATATGCCAAACACAGTAACAAGTGTCACAATGGAGATGTTACTGGGCCTGCTCAAGCAAATTGATGAACGGGAGGACACTGACAGCTGTATAAACTCTTTATGGGCGGCCAGAGGGGCCCCCAACGGTTCTGCCCCTCACCACCCGCCCGGCCAGGGCAGCCTGGGCCATGGGGCAGACGGTGGACGAAATGAGGGCCGAGCCGATCGGATGCCATTTATTCCATTCTCCTCACACGCCTGCTCCAGTCTCTCTGAGCCTCCCATTCTAGTCTCGCACTGCTCCTCATTCCCGTGTTCTTCTGTCTCTCCCTCTCATGTCTCCAAGCTCCATCTCGCAGCCTGGGCTCTCTCCACGTGCCTGCTCCTGTATTCGTCTACATTCTTCTCTCTGTCCCCTTGCTAGCCTCTCCATGGTCCATCATGCTGCCCTGCTCTCTCTCTCATTCTCCAACTCTCATGCCTCTCTAACTCCCCAGCACTCTGGGCTGACACTGCACCCAGTCTGGTCGCAAAATCAACATAATAAAGCTCTTCCTGAGGGCCCACCAGGTTCAAAGGGAACACCACCTAAGAGGTATACTAAAGCCCTTTCTGACTGTCCAAGGGCAAAATACCTCCTAAGGTGTTTTTCTCCTTTCCTTAGTCCAATAACTCTATCAACATCTCAATACTAGTTATTTTTGTATGGACACAGTAAGAGATAACATTGAGGCATGTAGGGCAGCTCTCCTGGGAACACCTTGCCACAGACTCAGACTACAGTGCTCAGTCCAGATTAATTAGTCCTAACCCTAGCAGGGTCCGAATCTAATTATTACTTTTTGGATCATGACCGTATTTGTCCATGACCAAGCTCTTATAATTAAGCATTATGGCACTTTGGCCAGGCCCATCCCGATGCCAGGGTAGCACATAGCTTACTGCTTGCCCTGGTTCCATCCAGTCCCTCGTCGGGACCCTGCTTTTGGGGGCGCTAGGAGGTAAGGGCAGCTGAGGCTTAGGTGAGAGAACAGATGCCCAGGAGGAAAATATCACTGAGAGTCACATTACAAAAGCATAGCATATACTGTCTTCTTGTATCCATACAAAAAGGACAATGCTCTGAATAAACTATGCAAAGGATTTAGGGAGAAGAGAAAAATAATATTTACAAGTCAACAGAGCACAAAGAAGTTACAAATAAACACAGGAATGGGAGCACTGTGATGGGAGCACCCAATTAACCTAATTACCTGAGGCTGTGCAGGAAGGACAAAACAGTGTTATCCTACAGTCAACCAGTAGCTACGTCTGAGAAAAAGAACTGTAAGGGTTAAATGTACAATAGACCAACTGGCATTATACCTGCTCCACAACAATGGAAGCCAAAGAGGATGCACTCCATAGAGAAGCCAAATATTTTAGTGGCTTTCCAGGAAAAGTTACAGAATTGAATTAGACGAATTAACATGTTAAATATACAGAAGAGGCCTGAAAACAGAGAAACATGAAATGTGT